CCCCCCTCCCCCCTCCATGGTCATGGTTCCACTCTCCCCTCTGTGGATGTGGTCCTGTAGGTAGTATAGGTAGTAAAGAGGTAATATAACTATACTCTTTAGTTCCTATATAAGTAGGTGATATCAGCTTTTAATATTATTCAATGAAAATATGAGGTTCTCCATCCAAACTGGTGCAAATACCATGGAAATATGAGGTTTTGCATCCAAAATGCTGTAAATACCATGGAAATGAAAGATTCTAGGCATCACTGTCTACCTTATGCCTACACAAAGATGGGAACTTGAAGTATGTTCACTTTGGGTGTGCAAACAAACCGGTCTGCAACACCATACATTTAATTCATGGAATATCATAGCACCCCTGAAAGCTGAAACCTTTCTTCAGCATGCACACTCCAGCTGCGTCGCTCCAAGTCTCGTCATGCACAATGACAAATTCCAGATTAAGTAAGAACACAACTGAAACATACAACTGAAATATGTATAAATCAATGTGTATATATAAATATATATAGAGATATATTCAAATGTAAATATACTCAAACACACACACACACACACACGCGCATATATATATATATAAAAATACATAAAGGTTTTGGATCAGAGCTCCCCACGCACGCTCGATCCTTGAAGCCTTAGCGGGTCCTTGCGCTGGCGACCCGCGGGCCCATTTTGCGGTGGTGCCTTCGCAGCAGCGTCACCTCGAGCTCTACGGCCAGGGGCGAGGTGGGATCTTTTCGCAGCACGAGCTCTACGGCCAGGTGTTGTTCATCGGCTACAGCTAGGTGTTGCATGGTCTATAAGGTACTGCTCCTCTTTGTGATCCTTCTCCACAAGGACCAGTACGACTTCAGCAAAGCGGCGCAGGTGGCGGCGCAAGAGAGCCAAGGCGAGAGCACTCTGGCATTGGCACAGACGAGGACTCAAGACTCTGGGCAGAGATCAGCTGCAAAGGGTATTTGGTGTCCTCCAAAGTCATCATTCTCGCGATCACCAATTTCTACGCTTGATAGCTGCAGAGATGGCGGAATCAGATGTAGATTGGAGATGCACGGCTTGCTGGAGGACCAACAAGGCCAATACATCGAAGTGCGCTCGGTGTGGCATCAAATGGACGCATGGTTGCGATCCAAGTTATGTGCCTCAAAAACACCCCAAGAGCCCGAGACGATGGAACTATTCCGGTTGGAATGCGCAGACCAGCTGGCAGGACTGGGACAATTCTCATTGGGGAGATGGCTCCAGTCAACATCAGAGAGCAAAGACGCCGAAGAACAAGCCCAGAGGCAGCACACCCCGGAAGCGCAATGCGGGTGGCAAGAAGGAAAAGATGGCCCAATACAGTGCGCCGGAAGTGGAACCACCCTGGAATGCAAACTATTCGGGGGGACCATCAGCCAGTGCAACTGGAGAAGAATCTTCAGCAGTTCAGGAGAAATTGGTCATGCTGGCAACGGCAGTCCAGGAATCCAACGCGGCGGTGAACCCCAGTGTGCGGCAGATCGTAGAGGAGTATTCCACACCAGTGCCAACGGCCAAGGGCTTGAAGGCGGCAGTGGACAAGATGGACAAGGCGCGCAAGAAATTGAAGGATGCAGAGAAGGCAAGACTGACAATGCATTTTTCGTGGAGGAAATACATTGCAGACTCCTTGCAAAGGTGGACGCAGTTTGCAGAGAAATTTGGTCGAGACGATCAGGAGCTTGCAGATCGCGTTCGAGCAGCAAGGGAGAAATTGCAGAAAACGAGAGAAGAAGTGGATGCCAAGAAAGCTGCGCTAGAGGATCACGATGGAGAGGACCACATCGACATCTCCGACGACGATATGGCGGAGAAGGTGGACAGCTCAGAAAACATCCAAAGCAGCATTACGGGCATGGTGGAGAACCTATTGACTATGAAACAACAGGCGGACGCAGCGATCATCGAGGCGAACGAGAACAAGGCGAAGAGGCAGCGCACAGACAACAACGAGGAGGGAGAGCCGCCCGCTGGGGGCAGAGGCTCATCAGTGCCTGGGTCTGGAGCCATACCCTCGGCCCTGCAGCCTTTTGCCAAGCCTGGCAAGTAGACTCATCTCGAGAGGCTTGCTCAAGGCATTTGGCAGGTTCGTCTGCAGCTCAAGATTCCGATGTCAGTCTGAGCTGGAACCACAGTTTTGTTCAAGAGCCGGAGTTTCAAAACCCATGGCAGGCATCTATTAGAGGGCTGGATTTAGCTTGGGAAGTTGGCACTATCCTGGAGAATCCTACCCCTTCGTCTTCCAGATCCTTGTTGCGCAGGAGGAACCGACGCACAGGGTTCAACCAGGTCACCTTTGCAAAGCACGTGGAGTTCTATGTGGGCTTTGAGGACACCGAGCACTTTGCAAAGGAGACCTACGAGGAGGAGAATTTCAATCATCGAGCATATTTATGCGAGATCACCGGACGTCTTTCCGCAGGACCAGAGATACAGCTGGAGGACGAAGAAGCCTCTGACGAAGTCTCATGGATGGCTGCAAGAGTTCCACAAGACCAAGGTGAACTGCAACCCTTTTTGAATCGTGATGCGGCAAGGGCTGCTGATATGCCCGAGGTCGCGCACCAAGGAGATGAGATCGAGGTAGAGATTGAAGCTGAGGTTAGTGGATCCGAGACCGACTCTTCAGACAGCAACATTGAAGAGCAGGAGGCTCGGCACTCCACTTTGGCCTATTTCATGGACTATGACCCAGTGCATTGTCGACCTCGATGGAGGACTTATGAACTACTTCATCAAGATATTGCGTATCAATCTCGAATGAGTCACCATGACGTGAGCAGAATCCACATTATTGGACATCCTCCAGAAGATCTACAAATGGCGAGTGTGCGACCCGTCATTGTGCAGAGGCCGCATGATGTGACAGAAGGGTCTACATTTCAACTGATTCTTCTGGATGTGGATTTCCACAATGCTATGCCTTCTCTAGAAGCTGAGACGGTCAGGAGAGCAAAGCTCCTGCCAAAAACAATCTCACGAAAAGCGCTTCTGGCAGTGCTCGGGCTTCAACCTTTCTGCACCTATGCACGTAAGGCTTGTCTCATGTGGCACAACAGGAAGCCAGTGAAAGTCCAGAGCAAAGCACTTTTAGATCTACGTCATGGAGATTATTTGAAGATCGTAGTCCCTCCAGGAAGAGGGGAACTTCGAAAATTTTACACTCGAGAAGTAGCGCAGTGTATGAGAAGAGGCTATCGAGCATCCAACATTCCAGTCCTCCTCGAAGCCTATCCAGAAGGAATTGACGTGACAGACATGCCAGTCTACGACACGTTCGCCTATGTTCCCAAACCAGAGGACCTTGACTATGACAAGGATGCCATGTCACTGTTTCAAATGCCAGGCCATAGTGTTCCGCCCTTGGATCCATGGCCTCATTTTCTTACCAGATCGTGTGATGTACCACAGGAAGATTTCATCCTCAACCTCAAGGTTGGAGAGAGCGACCGCCAAGAAGCACGTTTCTATGAAACTTCCGACATACCTCAGCCAGATGCAGGACGTCCGCAACTAGCTTTTGGCAATGAGCAACACTTTCTGCAAGAATTTTTTCCAGTGTGGCATCACTTCGCGGCTGTGGAACGAGATGATGAGGGCAGAATCCTTTATGCACAAACATGGTATTCAGATCATGAACGTTTCCCAACATGCGAAGCTCCGAGACCGGCAAGATTGACCTCCGACATTTCCAGCTGGCTTGACACACTAGCAGAGACATGGGACGATCGTGTGGACCCAGATGCAGAACTGGATTTCTACCTCATCGTGCCACGACCCAGAAGTTCAGCAGGAGTAGGAGACCCAGCAGTACCGCATGTCCTCATTGTGCAACACCCAAGACAGGAAGGCAGAAGCGTCCATGTTTTTGCGGTTGATGCCACGGATGCGGGAACTACGGCAAGGTCTTTTGCAGCAGTCATGCCTTTTCCGATGCGAAAGAGTGATTTTCTGGACTTACTGGGAATACGTGAAGCCACCTTTGTTGAAAGTTTGGTCGATTGCGCAGTTTGGCACGGTGATGTTGAACTTGACCACGTCCAGCAGTACAACATCAGACATGGCCTGAGTTTCATTGTAATCCAGAATCATCTCCGAGACATCATCACCAGGGCAGCCGAAACTTCCTCTGCAAGTTCATCATCTCGAGCGCTTCTACAAGTTCACCAGCACAGGCGGGTGATTTGCCTGGAGGAACTCATTGATATTGAACAACCAGAGACTCGGAGTGATGCAGTAGCTGTCCAAGTGAAGTGGCTGGCTCCAATTCAACCATTTCCGAGCTACATCACCCTCTCTGTGAATGCTACCAATGAAGAAGCAGCAGCAGAACTTGAATGCTGGGGCTTGCAAGCTCTTCCTGTGATTTGCAATGAATGCGGCGTGGTAGCATGTCTTTCTGCAGAACCTCGAGATACTCCACAACATGACTATGTCCTGGTGAACATGAAGTCCCAAGGAGGCAGTGGCATTCAAGATGTCATCGTCCACACGGCCACGAAGAAATTGAAGACCAATGAACTCATGAGTGTGCTATACCAACTGGGTTTTTGGCGAGCCATCATTGAATCCGAGGATGAAGTCTACCCCTCAGTTTCAAAAGTCTGCTTCATTGACCAAGTGGTCACAGTCAACATGAAGCACAGCAAGATTCAGAAAAGTGCAGCTTGGCCGCCACCGCAACAAGTGGGTGAGCACACAAAACAACCCTTCTTTTGTGACCCTTCCCACATCGGAAGTGCCCAACTAGTAGATCTGGGTGTTCAGACCAGCGACCTGCACGAGCTATTTTGTTCCCATCATGGCGTTCTTTGTCCAGATTTTGAAGGATATGAGCTACCAGAGGAACTACAGGTTGCGGTTGATCAATGTGACCCCAACATCACTATGGAAGAGATTGATCGTCTCCTTGTTTACACAGATGGCTCTTCAATGGGTTCGGCAAAGCATGATCCACCAATGAGAGCAGAAGAAGAAGGGACAGGAGACACGTGGGCCTATGTCATCATTGGCGAAAGATACAAGCCCCCAGGCCTCAAGTTCCTTGGTTGGACATCACAACCAGTGCACTATGACCCAGCGAGCAACGCCCATTTAGGAGCCAAGCGAGTTGGGGCAGACATTGCAGAGAAGGAAGCGCTTTCGTGGGCAGCCCTATGGAGGCTGAGTCTTAACCAAAAGATTCCGACCTGCTTTCGTTCTGATTCGAAGGTCGCCCTGGGACAAGCAGCAGGGAGTACAGGAACGTTGGAGATGGACGAGACCTTTGCCTTCATGAGAGGCGCCTATCAAGCTCTTGAGGCGGCTTTGGGAAGAGAAGGCATTCAATACCATCATGTCCCTGGCCATGCAGGGGAAGTTTGGAACGAGATCTGCGATTGGCTTGCGAAAAGAGAGCGTCAGCGCAGTTTCTACTGTCCAAGACCAAGATTGGACATGCGAAAATGGAGAGCAGCCATGAGTCACCTATGGCTCATTGTTGGACAACATACTGATCTTCCAAAATTCTGTGGCAATGGACTTCACGCGCCAGCCCCACAATTGCCTCAAAGTTGTGACCCTCACGGACAAACGGACCCCACATGCCACACAGCCACACGACACTGGGACCTCATGGAATTCACAGTCAGTGCTTGCAGCGTCAATGTCAATTCACTGAGCGGAGCACCAGAAGGTCATGGTGGACGTTTGGACTATATGCGGTCTCAGTTCTCTATGCTTGGTTTCAATTTTCTTGGAGTGCAAGAAGCCAAAACACCAGAATTCTACTCCTGCGTGAACCAAGTCCTGCGGATGAGTTCGGGCCATTTGAACCATCAACAGGGGGTCGAACTTTGGATCAACTTAGCGCAACCATATGGGCGCATTCGGGGACGTCCACAATTCTTTGATCGTCATGATTTCCAAGTCGTCCACAAGACCCCGAGAAGTTTGCTGGTGAGTGTCGACACCCGCTACTGGAGATGCTGGCTTCTGGTAGCCTATGCGCCACATAGTGGACTCCCGCAAGCAGAACGTGAGAATTGGTGGCAGACCTTGTCAGACGCGCTACAACGCAAACCAGTGGCAGACCCTCTGATTGTCATGCTGGATGCCAATGCAGGACCCGGGGACTATGATGGGCTTGCAGTGCATCGAACTGGCCTTGTGACATCCTCAGGTACGTCTCTGCTGCGGAGCTTTGCAGAAGAGCAAGGCCTTTTCTTCCCCTGCACCACTGCAGCGCATGTAGGGCCCATCGAAACATGGACGGACCCAACCGGGGAGAAGAAGTATTGCATCGACTATGTCCTGCTGTCGCATTTCTTCGATGGTCGCTGTCAGCTATCAAGGATCGTCGAAGAACTTGACTTAGGCAGAACAGCTTGGGACCATGAAGCAACTGCAGTTGATCTTCAATGGCAAGAATGGCTCCAGCGCCGACCAAGTGTACATTCTGATGGTTTAGGTTTCGACCCGGCGCTGATCAACAGTGACACGGTCCATTCCGTCCTCTCAGCTTATGAGCCCCCGCAATGGGAGACCAATATTGAAGACCATGTAGGTGACTTCAACCAAGTGCTCTTGACAGGCCTGAGACAAAATTGTCCACCGTCCAAAAGAGGACCCAAGAAGGCCTATATGACGGAGCAGATTTGGCACCTTCGCAGCGACAAGCTGTCTATCAAGAAGAAGATTCAACAGCTTTTTCGAAGGCAGCGAGATGAAAGAGCAGTCTTCTTCTTTCAGACATGGAAACAAAGGAGGACAGATCGAGAAGGTTGGGAGGCTTACCAATCCTATATGGAGTACATTTGGAGGGCCAACTTCAAGCTCGTGGGGCAACATCGTCGAATCATGTTGACGTTGAGAAGACAGTTGAGCAAAGCCAAACAAGAAACCATCAAAACAAAGTTCGCAGAGATGGACCCCAACGCCCCGGCCAGTGCCATCTTGCATGAGTTGAAACCGCTTTTGGGACCTTCCAATCTCAAAAAGCTCAAGGTCTCGCCACTGCCACAGATTCGCAATGCGCAAGGCGAAGTTTGTGGTCTTCCCAATGAGGCAGTGGAGACGTGGCTGGAATTTTTCAGGCAGATGGAAGGAGGGCAACGTATGGATCGGCGCCAGCAACGTGATCTTTGGATTGCCAATCTCCAGCGTTTTCAACAACAAGAATTTCATGTTGCCGCGGAAGAACTACCACGACTCATTGATCTTGAAGCAGCTTACAGGAGGATCAACCCTTACAAGGCCGTTGGGCCCGACAAACTGCATCCGGCGTTTTGCCGGATGAACCCGTCTTTCCTGGCTAGGCTGACTTTCAGCCAATTATGGAAGCTGACGCTTCATGGGCAGGAGGATCTAGCCGGGTGGCATTTTATTTCCGATATGGAAATCGAAGGGCCCAAAAGATTGCTGCACTTCTTATAGAAGTATTCTGGTATCCAGCTTCATCGGCAAGAGTTTGCATAGAAGCCTCCGACAAAAGCAGACGGCCCTCTTCGAGCGCTACATGCAAACGGAACAGCTGGGCGGCAGGCCCAAAGCGCCGGTCACGCTTGGCGTGCACTTAGGGCGAGCCTTCCTTCGTGCAAGAAGGAGCCAGGGGCACAATGTCGCCATGCTGTATCTCGACTTGACGGAGGCATTCTATCGCATACTGCGCCCCCTTGTCACAGGAGGACCGGTGTCAGATGAAATTGTGATGCATGTGGGGCGCAAATTGGGGTTCACGGAAGACCTTCTGGAGGAGCTCTACAAGCATCTGAGCGAGCCAGCGGCAATTGCAGAAGCACAGTTGCCAAAGCACATGCAGATTGCCATCAATGCGTTGCATGAGGACACGTTTTTCACAGTGCAAGGACAAGGTGATGTTTGCAGGACGACCCTGGGGTCGCGGCCTGGCGACTGCTTCGCAGACGTCATTTTTTCATATTTGTGGGGGCGCATTCTCAAACGTCTCCAGGCAACGCTCATTGATATGCACCTTGATGACAAGATCCCGATGGACACCAGCTTGAGCATCTCGGGACCGCAGGCGGAGGCATCAAGGAGCTTCTTGGGGCCAACGTGGATGGATGACACATGCGTATGCGTCTCCGACCCGTCACCGCAGACCCTGGAGGCAAAGATTCATCAAGCCACCGGAAAGCTTCTAGATCTCTGTGAAACCCATGGTCTCTCACCCAACTTGAGCCCTGGCAAGACGGAGGCACTTCTGGTCTTCCAAGGACGTGGCTCGCGACAAATGCGTATCAAATACTTCGGGCCCACCTCTGACCGATCTTTGAAGATCATGGGAGAAAAGGGAATCCTGAAGGTGAGGGCGGTAGCGCAATACACACATTTGGGCTGCGTCATTCATCATCAATCAGATCAGAGGAAAGAGGCGCGCAGACGCATCAGCATGGCACACCAGACGTTTTCCCAACACAGACGTCATTTGCTGCAGAATCCAGTGTTATCTATGCAAAGACGGCTCGAGCTCTTCAAGTCTTTGGTTTGGAGCCGTCTGAGCTACGGAACGGAGACCTGGACATTCACAGAAGGGCGCACCAAAGAGTACATTCACAATGCCGTGATGCGACTACTCCGTCGTCTTTTAGGCCGAGCTCATGATGCCCATCTCACAGACGATGACATCTTGACTGAGGTCGGCTCAAATAGCCCGACAGAGCTATTACGTCTTTCAAGACTTCGGTATCTGGGAACCCTTCACAAATGCAGTCACTTGGTGCCCTGGGGCCTGATCAATTGTGATCAACCGTGGATCGAGCTCATCAAGGATGACCTTCGATGGCTTTGGAGGCAACTTCAAGGTGCCTCACACCTACCAGATCCACATACGAGCCTTGCAGCTTGGGAGGACATTTGGCGCCATCACCCCTCCTACTGGCGACGCTTAGTACGGCGAGGTGGAGAACATGCCATCCTTCAGCGACAACGGCACCATCGTGTAGTTCAATTTCATCAGCGCTTTATTCAAACCTTCGAATCTCTGCATCCCGGTTGCTTTGACAGGAGAGGGCAACAAGCTGGAGAAAGTCAAGAAGCTGAATTGTTTGAGGATCAGCACGCATGTATGAGCTGCCAGCAGACCTTTCGCAGCAAAGGAGGCTTAGGTGCACATCTCTTTAAGAGGCACGGTGTGATCTCGCGGCTACGACTCCTTTTCGACACCACGTGCTGCCGGGCTTGCTTGCGGGAATACCACACATACAGCAAACTGCATGCGCACCTTCGACAAACGACATCATGTAGAGAGCAACTCTGGGGGAGACGTCAGAGGATGACACCAGTGGCAGGCACGGGCTCTGTGGCAGATCGTGCGTTGTGCAACCTACACGATGGCTTGCTACCTCCTCTTCAAGCAGAAGGGCCGAGCTTGGCAGCGGGCGCGGCGGTACAACTAACTGAACATGACCTATGCTTGGCAGAAACCATCTACGAGAAGGTTCTGGAACGAGGAGCAGGAGACGACATTGACTTGATAATTCTTGACACTATCAAGGACTGTCATCACGTGGACATCGTGCAGGGCGACCCTGGACTATCTCATCGAGAACCTCACTGAGCAGGACCTGGAGATCCTCAACCTGGGGGAGTATAACATGGTTGAACGCTTGCGACAGTTGAGGCGGGCGGAAAGCTGGCCCTTCCTTTGCCTAGCCAGGCAAGGTCCTCTCCGACAGGCTTCAACCATGACTCTGGCTGAGATGGAGCAACAGTGTTTGGAGGCAGCGGAAGCAGCCAACACCAGACAGAAGCTATGGGAGGTGCCCAGACCGATGGCAAGAGAAAGGTTTATTATCCACGCATTTTCGGGGAGACGCCGGGCAGGGGACTTCCAGTACTTCATCGAGCTCATCCAGAAGGACTTCCCGGAGATGTTGGTGCACACCATTTCCGTTGACCTGATGGTGGACCCCGTGTGGGGGGATGTCTCCCGACCTCAGGTCAGGGCCTTTTGGCTTGAGGCGGTGAGACAAAGGCAGGTGATCGGTGCCCTTGCGGGCCCGCCTGCTTTTGTTCACGCTGGAGCTCCTGATCGAGTTGGCCTTGGCTGATGGTGTGGGCGGCTTGGAACATCCAGCACCGCCCCCAGATGAACAGAAGGCAAGTATCTGGAGGCTACCTTTGCTGAAGTTCCTCATGGAATGGCCGGAGTTCGAGGTGCTTGACATCTCACAAGGGCTTTGGGGAGCACAAAGCAGAAAACCAACGAGGCTCTTGCTGCTCAACCTGACGAAGATGGTCCGGGAGCTACGCCGCTGGCAGCTGACGGGCACTTTGCCGACGGGAGTGAGTATAGGTCTCACAGATTCCGGTGAGTGGGCCACCAGTGCTCTCAAGGAGTACCCACCGGCTTTGTGCGCTGGCTTGGCCAGTGGCTTTCTTTCATCTCTCCACGAGCACCCAGTGGAGGAAGGGGTCGAGATAACAGAAAGTTTCCGAAGGCAAGCACTTGCGATGGAAATCACGCAATATGGTGCAGGAATAGGCCCGGATTACGCACAGTAGTTTATCTCCCCCTTGAATTTATTTCATGCATGGCCGCAGCAGACACTGCTTCCTTGTGCCACGAGGAAAAAAACTAGACGACGGTTGGCCCGAGAGCGAAAAAGATGTGTTTCAAGCAGCTCTGAGTATGGTAGTCGTAAAAGATAGTCGGTGAATAGTTGGTGAATTTTATTGGTGAATTTTATATGAGCTATGGAAAGACATGATGTAAAAAAGTAAGATTGATCAAGAAGAGAATATTTGGTAAAGGGCATCAGATGACATGTGTCTTGCAACCACAGAGAGAAAGAGGGGGAAGAGATAAAGAGAGAGAGAGAGAGGTCAGACGCATTTCCACACAAAGACCTTTGAGATACAAAATTGAACGGTGCAGTGATTCCCGAATTATTTATTTTTTTTGGTCCACTGCTCATAATTTGAATGAAAACAACACATATATGTTTTTCGTGCTATACATCACATAGATCCACTGCATCGTAAACAAACACTGCAATTCTCGAGATCTCATGGACTGACCCTACAGAAACCTCGAGAAGTGCAAGAAATGTTACAGATACCCGTTTGCCAATCCTCACTTGTTTCACGAACATTCAGCGTACATATAAGAATATGGATGTTCACTCTGTGCACAATGCATCTTGTCTCTACGTCCACATCTGAGCCCAGGAAAGAAGTACTTGGTAACCTCTACAACTCCTTTACACAGAAACACTTTTACACACAGACGCTTTTACACACAGACGCAACGCTTTTACACACAGACGCTTTTACACACAGACGCACACGCTTTTACACACAAAAGCTTTTACACACAGACGGTTTTACACACAGACGCTTCTACACGCAGATACGTTTTACACACGCACACACGCTTTCACACACAAACGCTTTTACACACAGACGCGTTGACACACAAACGCTTTTACACACAGACGCTTTTACACGCAGATGCTTTTTACACACGCACACACGCTTTCAAACACAAACGCTTTTACACACAGACGCTTTTACACACAGACACTTGTACAGAAACGAAAGCGTCCATCGCAATTTTTCCTCAGTTTTTGACGTCCAACGTCCATTTCGTGCGTAAGGGTTGCGATTGACAACTCAAAGTCGCATTTTTTCCTCAGTTTTTGACGTCCAACGTCCATTTCGTGCGTAAGGGTTGCGATTGACAACTCAAAGTCGCAATTTTTCCTCAGTTTTTGACGTCCAACGTCCATTTCGTGCGAAAGGGTTGCGCGGGACGCTTCAAAGTCGCAATTTTTCCTCAGTTTTTGACGTCCAACGTCCATTTCGTGCGTAAGGGTTGCGCGGGACACCTCAAAGTCGCAATTTTTCCTCAGTTTTTGACGTCCAACGTCCATTTCGTGCGTAAGGGTTGCGCGGGACAAAGTAAAGTCGCAATTTTTCCTCAGTTTTTGACGTCCAACGTCCATTTCGTGCGAAAGGGTTGCGCGGGACGCTTCAAAGTCGCAACTTTTCCTCAGTTTTTGGCGTCCAACGTCCATTTCGTGCGAAAGGGTTGCCGGCGACGCTTCAAAATCGCAATTTTACCTAGGTTTTGGACGTCCAACGTCCATTTCGTGCGAAAGGGTTGCGTTTCGTGGCGCTCCCCCGCCTTAAGAGAGAATAGAAGAAGAGCGAGAAGAGATCTGCAGATGTGAAGGTGTGAAGATCTAGATCTGCAGGTGTGAGGGTGTGAAGATCTAGATCTGCAGGTGTGAGGGTGTGATGATGTAGATCTGCAGATGTGAGGGTGTGAATATCTAGATCTGCAGGTGTCAGGATGTGAAGATCTAGATCTGCAGGTGTGAGGGTGTGAAGATGTAGATCTGCAGATGTGAGGGTGTGCAGATCTAGATCTTCACACCCTCGATCTGCAGATGTGAGGGTGTGAAGATCTAGATCTGCAGGTGTGAAGGTGTGAAGATCTAGATCTGCAGGTGCGAGGGTGTGAAGATCTAGATCTGCAGGTGCGAGGGTGTGAAGATCTAGATCTGCAGGTGTGAAGGTGTGAAGATCTAGATCTGCAGATGTGAGGGTGTGAAGATCTAGATCTGCAGATGTGAAGGTGTGAAGATCTAGATCTGCAGGTGTGAGGGTGTGAAGATCTAGATCAGCAGGTGTGAGGGTGTGAAGATCTAGATCTGCAGATGTGAAGGTGTGAAGATCTAGATCTGCAGGTGTGAGGGTGTGAAGATCTAGATCAGCAGGTGTGAGGGTGTGAAGATCTAGATCAGCAGATGTGAAGGTGTGAAGATCTAGATCAGCAGATGTGAAGGTGTGAAGATCTAGATCTGCAGGTGTGAGGGTGTGAAGATCTAGATCAGCAGGTGTGAGGGTGTGAAGATCTAGATCAGCAGATGTGAAGGTGTGAAGATCTAGATCAGCAGATGTGAAGGAGTGAAGATCTAGTATAACGGCTGCTTTTTTACGAAGAACCCTTCGCAGGCGCTCTCGGGAATAAATACATACACATAAAAATAAAAATAAATTAATAATAACAATAACAATATATACAGCATAGGTATTAAGATATGTAAATCGCACATGTAGTGCAGCTAGCCACAACTCGTCCTCACCTTGCCTTGCAGAGGTCCAGAAGAGGCGCCTGGAGCGCCCAGCTCCACGAGAAGGAGATGTTCCTCAGTTCCCACGTCCCAAAAATCTTCAAAAACGGCTACAAAAAGTGGTTACAACATGTTACAAGTACAACTAACTACAACTAAGTACAACTTAATCCGAATACGTTCCAGTCATATCTCAGTTATGAGTTCTAAGCCAGCCCAGTTAGATTGGGATATTTTGGCGGGTATCGGTATGCGGAATACTTGGAAGGGCCCATCATTGCAGCAGTTGCCTGTTAACATTCCATCGCAATATCACCTATGAATCGCCTTTCTTGGGGCTTATCTAACAGCAGTTGAACAACCAATAGCGGAGACTTGGCCACACTGAATCTTAAAAAGCGGAGACTCCATGGCATTCGGCCCATGCGGTTCTTCACCTGGCAGGCTGCACCCCGCTGATCAAGGTCTGGTTAAAAAGTGCCAAAGGATGCCCTGGTAATTACTGTATGTCCATCCTGGAGTAGGATATGCGAAGATGTGATTGAAAATAGGACCAATCCCTGCAAAAGGTGTCGTTGGCTTTGACGTCTTGATGTGCTGAAGGCGTCCCATACAACAATTCTAGATCGTTAACGCCTAATCCCTGTGGGGAGCAAACCCCGCGTCCCTTCAGTTTGAAACTCCTGGCACCAACCAGCAATTTTACTTTCACGCCCAGCTACATGGCAATACTCAGATTCACTTGTGAATCATTGGGAATCACATGGAATCACTTTGGATTCCACGACTAGCTTCGAGGCAGAGATCTCTTCCCTTCAACGTCTCATCCCGTGTTGGTCAACTTATCTCTCGGCTCAAACATCCCATAATCAAATCTGGCCCTTGTGCATGCCCTTTCGGGGAAATCATTTTCTTATATTTTCTTTGCAATTGCATCGGAAAATAGATGTTGGTGCAGTTGGTGCAGCCTCAGTTCCCCTTTCTAATTCTTTCTATCCTTTCTGCCCCCGGCCTGGTTGATGGCATTGAGCCTTGCTGCAGCACCTTCCAAGGTCTGTCCGCCGCTCAGGAAGTTCACTCCGCGGATGGCCACGGGCATCGTCTGGGCGCCCAAGATGCACGGCCGAGATCCAGATCTTTGGGAAAGAATTTTGAATGATGGGCTGGCGGCTGTACGGTAGGTATTTCTAGGTTGTAGTGACTTAGTGGGTTGTAGTTTTGAAGTTGGTTCTCATTCTTTTTCATTTGAATCCGAATGGTTGGTCGTCGCGGTTTTACTCAGTGGACCAATGTGGACCAACTTTGTAAAACGTTGATATGTAGGAGCCCTTGAAGCTATTCGGAAAAATTCAGTGAATGTTGGATTGAATGCTTGAGGACCCCTATTGCAAAAAAAAGCGCCCATATTCCGGATCGGCGTTCCATAGACAAGTATTTTCAGACCTTGTGGGTCATGATGCGTGGTAGTATAATGATGTATAATGTAGTATATGTGTTTGGTTCGTTTTGGCCGTTTTACCAAACCCACTGGTTACATCTGGTGGGTCTCATTCCTCGGCAGTTCCGTGGTTTGGGTGGCCGCAACCTGGGATCCCAACGCGCCGCAAGACTGCTGTGTTTGCCATTGCAATCCTGAGGTGTTTAACAAAATATCCAAAGCGGCTGGGTGGAATAGGTGGAATATGCTCCATCTCTAAATTCTTGATTTGCTTGAAGATGTTTATAGTTTGAATTCTTAACCCTCGATCAATCATGAACGAAAGCTGGGGGAGATAGTTATGTATAATTTGCCAGATCCATCTAGGCAAACCTTCGAAACCTAGCAACATCACACTTCTTCACATGCATTTTCCTGCCAGGTTTTCATTTTTCTTTTTTCAAAAGGAAGTCATCACAGAATACCTGAATTGGTGGCGGTAGTCCGATATACGGCGTAGAAATCTAAATCCACAGTGATCAAACCATCACCCTTCAGCACTGATGTGACTAGTGTGACATGGACTGAGACACAGGTTGACGCTCGGTCAGCAATGATTCAGCAATGATTCAGCAATGATTTAGCAACGGTTCAGCAATGATCCAGCAATGATTCAGCAAATGTCAAATGTCAGCAGTGCAATGTTCTGACAAGGTGCTCTTCCACGCTGTAGTCCGTGTCACAGGACCTCAGGTGCCAGCTTGGGCAACTGAAAGGACATTGTTTTTTGGGTCTCCTATGGTCTCCTGTCTCTTGGGCATCCTTTCAACGTTCTATAAACATTCTAAACCAAACCATGAATTGCCAGATGGATCCTGCGGAGACAGTGAGTTCAAATTGATTTCACCGTTTAAGTTTACATGTATTTATAAAAGTATATTTCTATAATTCATGTTAATTCAATCTTTTTTATTCTTTTTGGGCCTGCCCCAGTCTCAACTCGCCAGCCTCTGAAAAACTGATGGGTGCTGATGACCTTCACCAACATGTTTTGGATCTGTCATGGCCATCGTCTAGAGTTGCAACAGCCTAGAAACAACAAAACCATCTGGGTGCCATCAATACAACACAGCATTGGGGGAAGACAAGTGCTGACAGGTTCCAGCACTCGTTGGTATTTATAAAGCTGTTGGTGCCACTTGTTGCCGAGTAGCAGTCCAGGATTCACCAAATTCGTCTTGAGGATCGTCCCTGCGCAGCTGAAAAACACACTTCTCAAACTTCAAACTCCTTCAGACCTCCAAACTTGAATCACTTGGCATCAAATGATATTACATTGATATTACCATATGTATTCCATATGTTACTATACCGTAGTTGCCAATTGTTTTTGTCGAAACAACACGACAAGCCCTTGGTGAAACAGCAGTCATCCTCTTTCCATGGCTGCCCCTGGTAGTCCCCCGACAGCCCCTGCCTTCCATGTAGACGCCATGCTCCAACATCGCCTTGTAAAGGGTCGACCTGAAAAGTCGAGCGCTTCAAACCCTTAGGTCTTACAACATCGTTGTGACATCATGATGATATAGGTAATATAAGTGCGCAATGGAGTGTGGATACAAATGCATTTGTGTTCGCATGCAAACCCATGCAAAGGACCCACATTATGTTCCTGCACAAGACGCATTCACAAATTGTGGGTCAACAGATTGACGAATCAAAGCACAGCCGTTTGGCGTGCCATCAACCAGGCACACGCCACTTTTTTCAAAGTGTAGGCAATTCAGCTCGGGTATGGATGACTTCCAACGCATGTCTATCACTCAAAAACATCGAAGGAACTTTGGAACCTTGAGCTCAGGAGTCAAAGGTTTCCCTTTAGCAGTATGACCCCAGCCCAGGGTTCAGTGACGAAACGGCTTCAATATCTAGCAGCCCTTGGAAAAGATCCCAGTCCAGAAAACATGTCAAGGGACTGAACTTCGATGTTCACCGCCATGGCTGTCTCCAAGTCATGTTCACCTGCTAGGGGTGGGTGCCTCAACCCAACGGATAGGACCCCTCATCAACTCCAAGAAGAGATCCTGGTTCTTATATCTGTGCGCATGAAACATCAGGTCACTGTATGTCTCAAGAAATTCTCACTGCTTTTGGTTAGTACATGTTAGTACTATCCCGAATCTCCCTGCTTTCAAGCGAAAACCAACATCCCTTCGAAGCCTTTCATGACGATGTCCGGCTCGACGATGGGAACCAAACCTTCATCTTGACATATCAAGGCCTTGGGGAGGAAATGGAATATTCTTTTGGGGCACAATCGGCCAGAACAAAGAGTGTCAAAACAATGGAACTCATAGAAACAATGGAACCAAACATCGGAAAAGGCAAGAAGTTGAAAGAATTTGTGAGTTCCATTGTTTTGCTGAGAGCCGGCCAATACAATTTGGTACAAAGGGACTGCAGGTGCCGGAAAAAAGTCTTTGGCTGGAAGTTCTTGTGCAAACAAAAAGCATTGGGTGGCTGTGGAATGATTTCTGCTCAGAACTAACGTTGGGGCATCCTCTTTCCTCCATTGTTTCCAGCTGCAACCACAAGGTTTCTTGCATGGCTTTGTGCACTAATCAGTTGAGCAAAAAAAACACAAAGTGGGGCAAAACCAGCAATCCATGGTGAATGACTCTGGTCACAGCGTGCTGTTTCCCGCAACACTTTTTGCTTGTCTGGGGACACCATTTGGTATTCGATGCCTCTCGTGGAAGGATCAGATCAATTCATAGAGATGAACGAAATCCATCGGTGCCTGTTGTTACATTTATATGCTAAAGATTGGGGACCGTATTTTCTGCGAAACTCAACACGCATCCTCACGGACAAACATGTACAAGTAACACCTGTATATAATACATACATATCACATATATATATATATGTATGTATGTGTATATATATATATATGTATGTATGTATGTATGTATGTATGTATATATATGTATATATGTATATATGTATATATGTATGTATGTATGTATGTATGTATGTATGTATGTATGTATGTATGTATGTATGTATGTATGTATGTATGTATGTATATATGTATATATATGTATATATATGTATATATGTATATATATATATATGTATGTGTATATATATGTATATATATATACATATGATATATGATATATGTATATACGTACTTATGTGTTGTGTGTGCGTGTCTACCTGATATTTCACGTTTCGGTGGATTCCTCCTTGACATGTGATGTCATAGTATTTCAATGTATTTCATGTATTCTTGTGAGAAACCCATGATGGGCAGGTGGCCACACAAGTCGCCATATGTCGCCATGGGCATCCACACATAACGCGCCAAGTCGTTCATGTTGGCTTCAATGGCAAGGCGGCTTGGGCCCCAGCGCCTGGGACTACGCGTTACTAGCATCATCTATAGCACCATCTAGCATCATCACATCATCACATCATCTTTCAGCATCTGAAATATGTGTGGGTCATCAGGGTCGCAGATTCATTTTGGGAGTAGACTGGATAGATGCCGATAGATACTGGATATTTGTCAAAGGAAGTTTAGTGGGAGAAACTTCCGTGTTACGGACTTTTAGAATGTCAGGGAAAGAGTTAGTCGAAGAAACAGTTAGTCAAAGAAACAGTTAGTCAAAGAAACAGTTAGTCAAAGAAACAGTTAGTCAAAGAAAGAGTTAGTCAAAGAAACAGATAGTCAAAGAAAGAGTTAGTCAAAGAAACAGTTAGTCAAAGAAACAGTTAGTCAAAGAAAGAGTTAGTCAAAGAAAGAGTTAGTAAAAGAAAGAGTCAGTCAAAGCAACAGTTAGTCAAAGAAACAGTTAGTTAAAGAAAGAGTTAGTCAAAGAAAGAGTTAGTCAAAGAAAGAGTTAGTGAGGGAAAGAGTTAGTCAAAGAAAGAGTTAGCAAAGAAACAGTTAGTCAGGGAAAGAGTTAGTCAAAGAAAGAGTTAGTGAGGGGAAGAGTTAGTCAAAGAAAGAGTTAGTGAGTTAGTCAAAGAAAGAGTTAGTCAGAAACAGTTAGTCAAGAAAGAAACAGTTAGTTAGAAGAAAGAGTTAGTCAAAGAAAGAGTTAGTCAAAGAAAGAAAGAGTTAGTCAAAGAAACGAGTTAGTCCAAAGAAAAGTTAGTCAAAGAAAGAGTTAGTCAAAGAAACAGTTAGTCAAAGAAAGAGTTAGTCAAAGAAAGAGTTAGTCAAAGAAAGAGTTAGTCAAAGAAACAGTTAGTCAAAGAAAGAGTTAGTCAAAGAAACAGTTAGTCAAAGAAACAGTTAGTCAAAGAAACAGTTAGTCAAAGAAACAGTTAGTTAAAGAAAGAGGTAGTCAAAGAAAGAGTTAGTGAGGGAAAGAGTTGGTGAGGGAAAGAGTTAGTCAAAGAAAGAGTTAGTGAGGGAAAGAGTTAGTCAGGGCATTGTGATTTGCAACTGTAGGATTGTTCCCGCAATGCAAATGGGATTGCAAGTGGTGCTGCTGGATGAGTTGCCGATGGAGTTTTGAAGGAAGTCTCGCACGAAATGCGTTTTTGAGAGATAGCAGATGCACGAAACCCTATGTTTTTCCATACAAAGTGCGTCCCCGAACCTCGATGATCTACCTCTGCGGTGCGACGGGTGCGAGACGGTCTCGTGTGTGGTCGGATCATGCTCGGATGTGGTCGGATCATGTTCGGATCGGTTCCGCATTGTAAATGGGGTGTCAACTGTTTTTCGTGCATGTGTGGGCGACAGAATTCCATTGTGATTTGCAACTGTAGGATCGTTCCCGCATTGTAAAAAGGGGTTGCAAGTTGGCGCTGGTTGGAGGAGTTGCCGATGGAATTCCATTGTGAAGTTGGCCAACGAGATCGTTCCCCACTGTAAATGGGATTGCAAGTGTTGCTTTGTGTGAGGAGTTTCCGATGTATTCCATTGTGGATTTGCACTCAGGATCGTTCCCCTCACTGTAAATGGGATTGCAAGTGGTGCTGGTGGAGGAGTTGCCGATGGATTTTTGGAGGAAGTCTCGCACGAAATGCGTTTTTGAGAGATAGCAGATGCACGAAACCCTATGTTTTTCCATACAAAGTCCGTCCCCGAACCTCGATGATCTACCGCTGCGGTGCGACGGTTGCGAGACGGTCTCGTGTGTGGTCGGATCATGGGCGGATCATGCTCGGATCGGTTCCGCATTGTAAATGGGGTTTCAACTGTGTTTCGTGCATGTGCGGTCGACAGAATTCCATTGTGATTTGCAACTGTAGGATCGTTCCCGCAATGTAAATGGGA